GTAATCTCAATGAAGTATTAAAACAGGTAAAATATGAGAAGACATAATAAGTAGAGGTTGAAGTTGAAACGGAAATAACATTAAAAGAACATAACTATTAATTCACTGTACTTTTAACGGTTCTTTAAGGAAGACAGATTGTAGCAGCCATGGAGCCAACATAGAGATAGATGAAGAAGATGAAAGAACAAATTGTTTGTGAAAATAATGGTAGAGAAAGAAGAGAGGAAGAGAAGATGAAGGGACAAATTCTAAAAACGATTGAAAAAGTAGATGAGGAAAGAGGAGGCTAACCCTAGGATAATGAAGAAATATAAAGATTTTTGTAAAATAGAAAATCCTAATTTTCAAATTTTCCGTGTGGGCACAAGGTTTTTTGAAAATCCGTGGGTGCATACAGCTGGTTTTAGAAGATTTGTAAATAGAAAAAAACAAGAATTAATATAGAAAGTTTGAATGATGATTTCGTTTACCTTAATTAACTCTACCCACCACCTCTCAAATTCTAATTTAATATATAATATACAAAATGTTTATTACTATTTTTTTTTTATAAAAGTAATCTTAATTGAATTTTAAAAATGTTATTTTTTCYCGTGGCTGGTAGACAAAAAAATAACATCAACTAAGATATATATTCTTTTATAAAAACAACAACAAATCTTTATCAATAAATATTAAAATATAATTTTTTTTTTCCTTTTCTTTTTTCTTTACCACACGAGAAGAGAAGAATTAAATAAAAAGTTAATTCATGCAGTAATTTAAAAAAAAAATTGTACTTTCAATTCAATATCTTTAATATCTATTCCATTATAATCTATATATTATTTAAAATCTTTGCCATATATTTTTAAAATATTAAAATAAAATCGATTAAACTATAAAAATTGAGTAAATAACTAAACATAACAAAAATATATTAATTTAAGTTTTAAAAATATGGTCTAAACTATAATAGTTTATGCATTTAAATTTAATGGCTAATTGAATAATATTAAAATTATTTAGCTATATTGATAATTTATTTTTTCTAACCAATATAAAAGTATATTCAAATTTTGATATATTTAATGTCGGTGATTTAAAATTTAAGAATTGTTTTTGCAAATTATGTACTTCAAATTAAATCATGCCATAATTTTAGTCATCACGTTAACTAATTGCCTAATATAACATCTCATTTATTTGCATTCATTTCAAACAAGTAAATAGACAAAATAATTAAATAACTCATAATAAAAAAAAACCTAATCAAATCTAGAAAAAAAAGTGAAATGATTTCAATATTCAATTCAATTTTAGAATATTTCAAATAAGTCGAATGATTTTAACATTCGATTTAATTTTAGAATATTTCAGGTAAGGAAATTTTAAAAAACTGTAATAATAAAAAAGAGTCAATTTATTTTTTTCCAACGGATTTTTCCCCTTTTTATTTCTTTACTTATTCATTTCATTCCCCCTCTTCCATCTGTCTTCTCCTCTCATGTCCTTGTTTAATTTTTTTTTTCAATTTAAAATTTTATGTTCTCTTTATTTATGTGATTGACAAAATTTATTCATACATCAATTTAACATCTTGAAATAATCTAATCATAGTTTATATGTTGAAAGTATAATATCAAATTTGCAATTTGAATCCTGTATTTTTATATATCATAATACACTAGAGAATTTCCCAAAAAAAAAAAATTAATAATACAGTAAGAATTTAACTTTATATTTATATATAGTTAATTTCATGAAGTTCTATTTTTCAACTTCAAACTAAAATCAAAGTAAATATTTTACTTACAAAATTATAATAAATTGAAACAAATTGCAAACCAACCTTAGAGAACTTAATAAAGAAATGTTAAATAACTGTAATAATGAAAAATAGTTCATCTAATTTTTTTTTAAATCGATTCTTTCTCTTTCATTTATTTACTTCTTGCTTTCCTTTCCTTTCCCCTTCCTTCTCTATTCTCCTCTCACGTCCCTGCTTAATTATTATTTTTTTAATTTAATATTTTATTTTCTCTTTATTTATATGATTGACAAAATTTATTCATCGATTAATTTAATTTATTGAAATAATATAAACATGGTTTATATGTTCAAGTATAATATCAAATTTACCATTTGAATCCTGAATGCTGTATTTTTCTATAACGTAGTATACTAGAGAATTTAAACTTTATATATAGTTAATTTTTATGAAGTTCTATTTTTTCAATAAGTAAATATTCTACTTACAAAATTATAACAAATTGAACCAAACTGCAAACCAACCAAACCACAAAAATCGGTTTAGTTGTGTCCATTTTGCTGTGCACCACTACTCATTGCACTTTATTTTCTCTCTTTTAGTATTGATCTCCATCAAATTTAAACATAAAATACCAAAAAAAAAAATTTAGCTATCTAATAGAAGAAAATATTTTTGTTTATTTTAATKGCAAACGGTAGCAAATTAAATTATAAAATGTGCAAGAATCATCAAACCCACAAGKAGAGGAT